ACAGCTCGTTGGACATTATTTATTTATTGTATTGGCTTCCGCCAGGCCCTGTACTCTGTTTTACTGTACTACTGTTAAGCAGGCCTTCGGTAATCTCGGATTACTGGCCGGTTACGGTACTAAACCCATAGGGCCGGGTTTGGGTCGTGACAGTTGCCCCTACATTCTTCAGCCCAAAGGGCATAACTTTGTAGTAATAGGTTCCTCTTGGGGTGAGGAAGGCAGTTTTATCCTGGTCATTTGGATGCATGGCAATTTGATGGTAGCCTCTGTAAGCGTCGAGGAAGCTCATGTGTTGGTGGCGTGCCGTCACATCGACGAGCTGGTCGATTCTGGGTAGAGGAAAACAGTCTTTGGGGCAAGCTTTGTTCAGATCCGTGAAGTCGACATATACTCGCCAAGTCCCATTTTTCTTCTTCACCACCACTGTATTGGAGAGCCACGTAGGGTAAGTGACTTCTCTAATTGCCCTGGTGTCAAGCAGTCTATCTACCTCCTCAACAACGGCGGCAGTGTGCTCCGCGGCTGACCGTCGGCCTTTCTGAATGATCGGCTTACATTTCAGATCGACATTCAAATGGTGCTGTGAAACTGACGGATCTATTCCCGACATTTCATATGGAGTCCACGCAAAGACGTCAAGGTTGTTGTGCAAGAAAGAGATCAGCTGCTGCCTGTCGGCCTGATTCAGAGAGGTGCCGATCATGAAGAACTTTTCTGGGCTGCCATCAATGTCAACTCGGTCCAAATCTTCCATGGCCTTCTCGTTTGCATACCGTCCAACATCGTCCAGGATCTCCCGATTCGACACCTTAATGGAGTTTACTTGCAGTTCCTTTGGCGTTCTGGTGGCAAGGAGATAACATGCTTGTGCCGATTTCTGAGATCCGCAGATTTGCTTAATGCCGTGTTCTGTTGGGAAACGTAGCAGTTGATGATAGGTGCTTGGGACGGCCTGCAAGGTATGCAACCACGATCGCCCCATGATGAGATTGTACGGCGATGGCAGCCTGACGACTAAGAATTCCACGTCCACCATTCTGAAACCTGCTCGAACGGGTAAGCTGATTTTTTCCAATGGGTACTCTGGAGTGGCATTGAAGCCGAATAGTGGATAAGGAGACGGAGTCAGGTCTGACTCGTTGAATCCGAGTTTGGTGAAGGTTTTATAATACATAACCTCCGAGGTACTGCCCTGGTCGATAAGAACGCGTTCGACGGTGAACTGGTTTACGCGCAGCTCAATAACTAACGGATCGATGTGGGGGAGTGTTACACCAATCAAGTCAGAATCGTCGAAGGTGATACTTGGTGTTTCTTGGGATCCTGGATGTGATTGGATCGCATGCACGGCCGGGGCCGCTGGAAAGCTGTATATCACGTGAACGGTGTCAAGCGGAGATGCATCCTCCGGACGGGCAGGTGTTTCGACCATACTCCTCCAGATGCATTGGTGGAGACGTTCGTCCTTTGCCAACTCCTCGAGATGATCTGCCCTCAGGGGTTGCTCAGAAGCCTTGGGCACCGTTTGATTGGATTTTGCTATTTCCGAGGCTAGATCGCGACGAAGGCGTTCGTTCTCAGCGATGATGTTGGCCAACCTCTGTTGGGTTTGCCTAGCTTGTGCCATGGTCGCTTGTATTGTCGTTTACGTTGGGTTTGAAGATGAGCAGAGGTCCGAGGCAAGTCTTGCCGCGATGGGTTTTGGTCCAAGCGAGTTTGCTGGAATGAGGTCAACTCTCTATGCGGTCTCGTCAGTGGCTAGCGGAGGATTTTCAGTCACGCCTGCCATAGATGTGTTTGAGTATTCCCACAGACGACGCCAATTGTGGGGAAGTGGTTTGGAAATACTCTTCGGATCTTGAGAGACGCTAGTGATTCTCATCTAGTCACCTGAAAAGATACAAGCACTCTGGCCGGGGTGCCGGAATTAGCACTCTGACGGACAAGTTAGTTCAGACACTTAGGATAACTTACTTTCTAAGTCTTTGTGAAGTGATTCTTACATACCTTTCTATAACCGTTGTTCCTGTATTTATACCTGTTCTTTTTGATCCTCGGGACCAGGGCCTATTTTTTGATCATTGCCCTTTCTTTCATTCGGAGCTACTGATCTCCATCTATTCGTCTTTATTCACGTATTCGGCGTCCTGGTCACGCAATATGAAGCCGGATAGTATCTAATTTCTGGAGCGCGCATCCTCCGACTCTTCTATTTATTCGGCTCCCACAGGGTTGGTTTGGAAAGTAGGTTGGCTTTTTGGCTTTTTAACTTTTTTGGTTATTTTAGCCTGGGTTAAAAAGTTTGGTTTAAAAAGGACTTTTTAACTTTTTGACTTTTTTGATTTTGTTTATGAGAAAAGAGTATAATGATTATGTGTTAAATGTGATATTTTAGGGTTGTCTGGGATGACCTAAATAAGTGCATTTTTTGTCTTTTTACGAAAAGATGTGCAGAAAAGTAGAGAGGTGATGTGATGAAAAAAAGATAAAAAGATAAAAAGATAGATTATTTTGTAATTGTCAAACTTGACCTTTGTTAGTTATGATTAAAATAATTAAAAAAAACTTACAAACCTTCCTCGAAAACGATGTCAAAGTCTTACAAAGGACTTGTGAAATAAGAGTTTAAATCATTGGTCAGAAAGGAAAGCACGAGGCTGCTACTTTTGAGTAACCCGAACCTTCCTGGTAATAGCGCAATGGCCATGAGTAATTACCATAACTCTTCCTTATATGGTGTGTAAGTGTAACCCGGACCTTCCTGGTAATAGCGCAATGGCCATGAGTAATTACCATAACTCTTCCTTACATGGTGTGTAAGTGTAACCCGAACCTTCCTGGTAATAGCGCAATGGCCATGAGTAATTACCATAACTCTTCCTTACATGGTGTGTAAGTGTAACCCGAACCTTCCTGGTAATAGCGCAATGGCCATGAGTAATTACCATAACTCTTCCTTACATGGTGTGTAAGTGTAACCCGAACCTTCCTGGTAATAGCGCAATGGCCATGAGTAATTACCATAACTCTTCCTTATATGGTGTGTAAGTGTAACCCGGACCTTCCTGGTAATAGCGCAATGGCCATGAGTAATTACCATAATTTTTTTTTTTTTTTTTGACAAAAATACTTTGGTCTAAAGGTCTAAATGTTATGTAAATTAAAATTTTAAGAAAATTAGAATTATATAAATTTTTTGAAAATTATTATATTTTTTCTAAATCTCAATGGAGATCAATCTAATTTATCGAATTATTTATCTTGATGTCTAATGTTTTCCTTATATCAGCTCACAAGTCATGATATGCTTTGGAAATTCATTGTTATTTTAATAATTTTTTAGGTTTTTAGCTAAAATGTAATCATTTGACAACAATTTTTTCATGAGTTTACAAATAAAAATTGAATATCAATGTATTAAATGAAAGTATCCAAAACAAAGAGACCCTACACTAGCATTTTTGCCATGAAAAAAATGTATATCAATGCATTAAAGGTTGTACTCAATTAGAATTGTTAGTTCAGTAATCAATAATCAAACTAGAAGCTCTATCGACTACCAGAAGGAAACTTTTATTAGGAAAAAGTGGATGAGTCACCAATGAAAGTCATATAAGAAACCAAGTTTAGGACTTGATAATTCTACGGCATTAAGATAGTTGAGAAATACTTAAAAATAAAAATCCTAGTGTCATAGAAAACATAATGGTGCTCCTGTTAAAGTTACAAAGTTGGTATATAAAAAATAATAATAATAATAATAATAATTAAAGTGCGGACGGTTTTTGCGGGTTGCGAGTTTAACCCACGACCCGCCCACAACCCGCAAATTTGTCATATTTCAAACCGCATCCGCCCACATTATGTTTGCGAAACCGCCCATTTATATGCTGGTTGGACAGTTTGAGCGGTTCGGATAAACCGTTGCCCACCCCTAATATGAGGTAAAAAAATTAGTATATTTGGAATAACTTTTTAATTTTTTATAAAAAAATGTGCAAAAAATAAAGAGAAAATAAAATTTTTGATTTTTTGATATAGGTTATAAATTTTTTTTTTAAATTTTTATAGTAACTTTTTATCTTTTAAACTAAAATTATTACATGCTAGACGATACCTTAATTTTACTCTCTGTTGAATTTTCCCCCTCCAATTGTGTTTGATGTAAGGAAAAAATCAATTATCCCAAGTGAAGTTTTGCATAGAAGCCTCCTCTTAAATATATGAATTATGTTTAAATCTTAAATTTGAGCCAAAAAATTTATGGAAAAGAATAATTATTAATTATAAATATAAAGAGAACACGTTTTATTAAGAATTTTTTTTTTACAATTCAGTGTATATTTTCAAAAAAGAAAAATAAATAAATAAATGGTAAATTTTATTAACTTTAATAATTAAAGTTATAATTTTTTTTTTACAAATTTGTAAATATTTTCTAAGGCCACCACTTAATTATAATTTTCTCTTTTATTAACAAACCAATAATGAGAGGTGTTTTTATTAAAAATAAAACAAAAAAGAGGGTAAGCGTGTGTCTAAGAAATGTTTTTTTACAATTCAGTGTATATTTTCAAAAAAGAAAAATAAATAAATAAATGGTAAATTTTATTAACTTAATAATTAAAGTTATAATTTTTTTTTTACAAATTTGTAAATATTTTATAAGGCCACCACTTAATTATAATTTTCTCTTTTATTAACAAACCAATAATGAGAGGTGTTTTTATTAAAAATAAAACAAAAAAGAGGGTAAGCGTGTGTCTAATTGGCCCTAAAAGAGAGGTTATTTGGTAGTTTAGGAATAAAAAATGCTTGGAAACACTAAAAAGAGAGCATTAGGGGAGCACTAATAAGTTGGCTTCCCATGATGTGATGGGTGCCTCTTTTTTTTTTCTTCTAATTTTTCTTTTTTATATTTTCAAATCATTAAAGCTATTAATACTCTGTTTTTTAGAGCTCCCAATCACCTCTATTTAGGAATAATGTTTCGCACCATTTGACGCTTGTCAAATTGTCTTCCAAAATCTCTTAACAAAAATATCAAATTGGAGCACCATGTGACAATGCCCAAGACCACCGTATAATTTTTCGCCCCGCTGGAAAAGCCCATAGCAACTACCGTGTTGACAATATTGCAGAGTCTTGTCTTCATTCATCAATCATCAAGAAACATATCCCAGTATTCTCTAGTAACTGGTAAGGCCTCTTGAAGGAGAAGTTGTTCCCCCGATTGTCTCAATTCTTCTCTTTCACTTCTTCTTTTTGTTGTCTATTGAAGATTGTTTTCATACATGCTTGTTTTCTCTTGGGCGAGTTGTGGTTGTGGCCCAATTAAGAGAAGATCATGGCAGACATGGTTCTTACAGCAGTCCTCAAGAAACTTGTTGATATTGCTGGTAATCTAATAGTTGAAGAAGGTTCTCGCTTGTCTCGGCTGAAAACAGACATCCTTTGGATCGAAAATGAGATGAGCCATATTCGATCCTACTTGAAAGATGTTGATACCAAACAATGGGGCAGCAGTGGCGCAATCAACTTCTTAGGAGATATTTGGGATCTTGCTTATGATATGGAGAACATCATTGACACATACTTTCCAAAACTAGCATCATCAAGTGGAAGGAATGACTGGAAGAGGCACCTTGGTTGGTTTAAGAGTGTCAAGTGCATCCGCAACTTTGCTGTGGAGATTGAAGGGATTAAAAGAAGGGTTGAGAACATCAATCGAGTCAGACAAACTTATGGAATCAAAGAAAGAGGTGGTGGCCGTGACGCAGAAGATGGATGCGATCCAAGACAGTCTTTCCCCCATATTGATGAAGAAAATATTATTGGTTTCGATGAACACATTCAAAACTTGGTGGCCAAAGTGACTGATGATCAAGATTTACACTGTCGTGTGGTATCTATTACTGGCATGGCCGGTTTGGGAAAAACTACTCTTGCCAAGAAAGTTTATAAATCTGTTCAACAAAGTTTCCAGTGTTCGGCTTGGATTTATGTTTCTCAGCAACCAAACATAAAAGAGCTCTTACGAGACATAGGTGTTGAATTCACCCCATGTGAAGGGGAAATTGTCTTGTGAACACACCTTGGTTGGTCAACAAGGAAGTAGGCTACCAACCATGTCAAAGAAGGAGGCTGCCGAAGTCAAGCATGGAGGCTACCCAAAGGCACTCCCACCTACTCATTTGTGTATAAATAGAGACGGGAGGGAGAGGATGAGACACAGATCAGAAATTAGAGAGTGCGAGCTGTGAGTTGAGTGAGTTTTATCTCCTCCTCTGTATTTGTATTTTGCTCCATTTTAGTGAAAAACTTCTCATTTCTGTCCGTGGATGTAGGCATTGGGCCGAACCACGTAAATATTGTGTTCTCTGTGTGTGTGAGATAATTTTCTGGGTGTCTTTGATCCTAACAAAAAAAACACTCAAAGAAATTGCTTTCAGATTTTAGAAATTCCACACTAACGTAATTGCGCGAGTAAAGTGCCACCTTTTGTCAGATAAGAATCATTGACAATGCTCAATCAACACTTAATAATTAAGATAGTATTTGTCATCACGACTCATGTCATATTTATGAGCATTAGATTATAAAAAAAAAGAAAAAGAAAGCCGGTTCAAATTATTCTTTTATTAATTAAGGGAATAACAAACAAGAATACTACATATGGATAATTTTTTGCTGTGATGCTTTTAGTTGTATTGTTTATTTTTTATTTTTCTATTATTATTAGGCTTTATCTTAAGTTATGATTAGTTGTTTCTTTTCATTATGAGAACTCTTTAAGCAGAACTCTTTAAACTTGTTGGTCAATGAATACCTTATCCACAAAACTCAGACCTAATGTGAGACAAATGTAAAAAAAAAACACATCAGAGAGTGGTGTGAGTTGAGTTGAGGATGTCGGATTCCCTCCTCCTCTTGTATATCTGGTGTTTTATCTCTAGCTTCAGGGGATGCAGTGTCTCAGTGAGGAGATGCAGACTATGTTGAATTTGGACGTGACAAGATTAGCAGCAGTGTATGCAGTGGAACACTTCACATGGGTTGAGGGGGTGATTTGTTGAATTCACCCCATGTGAAGGGGAAATTGTCTTGTGAACACACCTTGGTTGGTCAACAAGGAAGTAGGCTACCAACCATGTCAAAGAAGGAGGCTGCCGAAGTCAAGCATGGAGGCTACCCAAAGGCACTCCCACCTACTCCTTTGTGTATAAATAGAGACGGGAGGGAGAGGATGAGACACAGATCAGAAATTAGAGAGTGAGAGCTGTGAGTTGAGTGAGTTTTATCTCCTCCTCTGTATTTGTATTTTGCTCCATTTTAGTGAAAAACTTCTCATTTCTGTCCGTGGATGTAGGCATTGGGCCGAACCACGTAAATATTGTGTTCTCTGTGTGTGTGAGATAATTTTCTGGGTGTCTTTGATCCTAACAATAGGAAGACAAGTTGGCTTGGAGGAGAACAAGTGCAAGCACAACGTGGAGGCCAATTTGTTCGAATTTTTAAGCCAAAAAAGGTACGTGATTGTAATTGATGATATATGGGACATTGTACCATGGAATGGTTTAAAGAATGGTATTCCAACCAATTCTGAGAAGGGTAGTAGAATAATAATCACTTCTAGGAAAAAAAATGTAGATGTTAATAAAGGAGGAGGTGGGCAAAAATTTCTACATGAGTTGCAACCCTTAGACCAAGAAAATAGTAGAACCCTCTTCTTCAATATTGTTATGGCTGCCTCACATAACAGTGGTGAAAGTAGTTGTCCCTCACAATTAAAGAAAATTGGTGAGCAAATATTAGAAAGATGTTGTGGTGTGCCACTTGCAATAGTGGTGACAGCGGGTCTATTGTTGTCGAGAGAGAGAACACAACTCGCATGGAAAGAGGTATTAGAGAGCATGGGCCAAGATGAAGACCAATACTCATCTATCTTTGCACTCAGTTATAAAGATTTGCCTTCAAAGTTTAAACCATGCTTTCTATACTTGGGACTTTTTCCAGAGGACCATGAAATTTCCACATTCGAATTAATTAATTTATGGGCAGCTGAGGGATTTATACAAGGCAGTGAATTGAGAGAGGTTGAAGATGTCGGGTATGATTACCTAAATCACTTGATAGGTAGGAATCTTATTCAAGTTGTTCGAAGAAGGTTCAATGGAAGGGCTAGAAGTTGTCGCATTCATGATATATTGCACAATCTTTGCATTCGAGTGGCCAGTGAGATTAATTTCTTTAGCACTCACAATCATGTAACCAGCCATAATTCTGCTTTGGGAATACGCAGAATGACTATCCATGGTATTAATTTTGCTGACTACATATCTTTAAATCATCAAGCTCCCAAGCTTCGTGCTATGTTGTATTTCGGTGAAGGCATGTATAATCTTAGAAGGAATCGATATAAGGATTTTCTTAGCCGGTTCAAATTTCTTCATGTGCTAAGTGTTAGGTATTACTATCTTCCAACTTCTTTTCCCAATGAAATTAGCAATTTGAACCACTTGAGTTACCTTAAATTGGCAGCCGCTGTTGCAGAAATTCCTTACACCATATGCAACTTAAAAAGTCTGATGACCTTGGATCTTAGTGGATGTGACGTAGTCATCATTCCTAATCTTATTTGGAAAATGCAACAATTACGACATATCCTCTTGCCCGATTACTGTAATTATATTTGCAAGGCTCCCTCATTTCGGGAGGTTTCTGTACCAAATCTCCAAACCCTACAAGGGATGTCTACTTCTCTTTTCGAGGCCCAATACTTGCCCCAATACTTGCGCAAACTTAACAATTTGAGAGAATTGGTAGTTGCTCATTCAACCGAGAGTATCATTGAGGTATTATCGGGTGCAACCCCTGTATCACATGGGCTAGAGAAATTGAGCTTATTGGATCCTTGGTCTTTGGAGTTGAGTCTGAAAGTAACTTCCAGAACATTCAATCTATCTCGATATGAAAATCTGTCTAAGTTGAGTCTGAAAGTACGAGTGGAGTGTCTTCAACATGACAAATTTCCCCCAAACCTCACCATGCTTACCCTTAAGTACACTTATTTGAAGGAGGACCCGATGGACACTCTGAAGAAACTCCCGAAACTAAAGATCCTCAAATTGTGCTGCAAATCATATAATGGGGGGGAGATGGTTTGCTCTGGAGAACCTGGTAACTTCCCTGAACTTGAAGTATTGCGAATTGAAGACATGAGAAATCTGTGGCAGTTCATAGTTGAAGAAGGAGGAATGCCAAAACTCAAAGACTTCTCCTTCATTGATTGCAATCCAAAAACAAGGATTCCAAATAGAATCAAAAGCATATTGATGATTTACCGATTAAAAGGTCAGTTTAATATTTTTTTTTTATGTTTTATCTATTCAGTTCTTTAGTATCAATCAATCATTACTTGTAAATAAAAACAAACAATTGGGTACCCCTTGCCCAAGAGAGAAACAACGTAGGTTTTGTTTTCTACCCATAAACTGACTCTCTCCCAAGAAACAACGATCAAGTCAATTGCACTGTGGTTTGTGTGGGTGATATTCACCATTGTAATATCACCCCACTGCTGGGATTGATTTATCAGACTCTGGAAGCACGTGATTTATCCACGAGGTTCTATCATCGAAAGGTATGATATGATTATTTTATCCGCTGCATAATTGTTTGTTTTTATTTACATTGGGGGAAGGAGATGGTTTGCTTTGGAGAACATGGTAACTTCCCTGAACTTGAAGTATTGCGAATTGAAGACATGAGAAATCTGGGGCTGTTCATAGTTGAAGGAGGAATGCCAAAACTCAAGGACTTCTCCTTCATTGATTGCAATCCAAAAACAAGGATTCCGAATAGAATCAAAAGCATATTGATGATTTACCGATTAAAAGGTCAGTTATTTTCATGTTTTATTTATTCAGTTCTTTAGTATCAATCAAGTTTATATTTAATACTATCTGTTAGATGATTGTTCTGCAGACATGGTTGTAGTTATAATATGTTGTTTTTGTCACATCACATGCAGACATCAGAATTTCTTGAAGAAGGGTGCTGGGTTGAAGATGAGGAAGAGGGAATTTCAAAGCCATTACTTCATTCTGAAGGTCAGATCCCAACCAACTATTTTACCTTTTTCACTTAAATTGTCGAGAAAATTAGTCACTAAAAAAGCCTCAAATTGAGCCAATCCAACCCATCTTTGAGTTGGGTTTGGTTCAGTTATTGAAAGGGCGCAATTCTGTGTCTAAAAATAACCCTACAAATATTACTCCTATATATTATATATATCCTCAATCAATAATTACTTCTTTTTTTCCTTTCTGAGTCTTATCCTTGTAGCTGTAGTGGAGTTCGGACTATAACAATTTCACTTTACAAAATTTTAGACAAGCTATTTTTTTTTTTAATTATAATGAGAGTTTATAAATTTTTTAAATTAGGTCAAGTTTGGGAAAACTAAATAAGTGCACTTTTTGACTTTTTTTTATATTATGTGTAGAAAAAGTAAAGAGGAGATGTTGATTGATGTAATTCAAAAAAGATAAAAAGATAAAATAAGTGCACTTTTTTAAGTTAGCCAAACTTGGTCTTAATGTGAAACTAGAACTATAATCTGAACCAACTGGAGTTTATTCAGGTTGGATTGGGCTGGTTGGAAAGGATATTTGGTTCAGCTTTAAGTTTTCGAAAATTTGATACCAATCAAGATTGGTTTAGTTATGGGCTTGGCTCCATCTCGAACCAACCCAATTCAATCCCTGTCCACCCCAATCATCTATTCCAATATGATCTTGCTTTTGTTTGTTTGTTTCTTTTTTTTTTTTTTTTTTCCTTTTTTTTTCCGTCATAAAAACAAAAATAAAAATTGTTAACAAACCTATTGATATGGTCTTGTGTTTTTATGTTTCTTCTAATAGATTGTGTAGTTCCCAAAACTAATGATGACCCTGTTTGGTAGAGTTGTGGGAAAGTGATTATAACTTATAGTTTAACAGCTTATAACTTATACCTGTAAACATAAACTGATTTTTGACTTATAAATTAAGCTTCTCCTCCCCCACTCAAAGAATAAGTTGATTTTTGACTTACAAAAAACTATAAACTGTATTGTTAAGCTGAACCAAACACATCAAAATAGTTTCAATTAAGCTAAAAGCTAAAATAAACTGGAAATAAACCCTACCAAACAGGGCCTATAACTTATAACCTAACAGCTTATAGCTTATAACTGTGAACATAAGCTGATTTTTGACTTATAAATTAAGCTTCTCTTCCCCCACTCAATAAATAAGTTGATTTTTGACTTACAAAAAGGTACAAGCTGTATTGTTAAGCTGAACCAAACACATCAAAATAGTTTAAATTAAGCTAAAAGATGAAATAAGCTGGAAACAAGCCCTACCAAACAGGGCCGATATGGTCTTGTGTTTTAATAGGGGAGTAATAATGACCCGGTCCGGCCCATCTAGACCTGAGCTCGGGTTGACCCAAGCGGGCCTCGCGAGCTCCCTCCTTTTTAGTGGACCCTATTGGGCCAACCCATGGGTCAAAAAGTGGGGCCCAAGCCCAAGCCTACTCATAATAGGGCCTATGGCTCGGGCCTATGGCTCGGGCTTAGGGCTTGGGCCATGAGTTGGGCCTAGTCGGGCCTTTTTAAAATTTTATTAGGAATAAAAAATAAAAGAAAAATTATACTAGAATATTTTATTTAAAATTAATGAGATGTTTTGTTTGGTTATATTTCATGGTGATATTTAAATTTAATCATGTATGACTTATATTTTTTTAATTATAAACTTATAATTAAAAAAGTATGTAATTATGTAATATTTTTTCTTTCGAAATGAATAATTTTATATATATGAAAATGAAACTTTTAATACTACAATATTAAATTATTTATATAACATTTATTGAATGAATAATTTTTATTTCAAAATGAAATAAAAATTACAAAAATTGGTATTACTAAATAAAATAGGTGTAGATTATTGATGATGGTAGAGCAATTACATCACTATAGGCCGAGTGCATCCTAACTAGGTTGGCACATACTAGCTTATCAATATTTACATTATACTCCACCTCAATAATTAAAAAAAAAAAAAAGACGAAATGAAATGAAATAGTAAAAAACAAATTGTTGATCAATCATCGGATAAAACAGACATTTTAGTCGCGTTGCTTGAGGATATGTCAACCAAATCATTTTGAATTCGCTCATTTTCACTATAAAACAGACATTTTAGTCGCGTTGATGGTAGAGCAATATCATCAGTGCCTCAACCATTTGGGATGAAAGCCTGCTCCGGTAATAGCTCAGCACTCGTCTGTAACGCCCTCAAAATAACAACATTAAACCCATCTGATAAGACATGAATTTACATATAAACTAACCACATTCTTTTATTCATTAGAGTCTCACTACATAAGTATTACATGTTAACATCAAAACAAAATGCCCTACGGGCTTACAGCTTTCCAAGTTAACACTTGGTTACAACCAAAAGAGTACAACTCGTTTACACATTAAGCCCTTGGCTTGAAGTTACATGTAATACATCAAAAGTTAAGCGACAAAAGTATGTCCGCCTCTAGCCTCCCAAGCTACGTCCTTGGAGGTGGCATGCTTTCTGCACCTGAAAATGATATTCCCATATAGGGTGAGCCACAGCCCAGTAGAAATACACTAAACCAACCATGGACAATGACTAAAATATTAGCAATTGATAGATGGCCAACACTGATACAATCACATAAATCACATATTTATGTCATACAACTTACGAGTCCAAGTTACCTTTCATTTTCCCTTTTTCAACAGATAAGCATGCTAGCTCTATCATCATTTCCACAGATATGTATAAAAACTATAATCCACATTATCTACCCACAAATATGTATAACCACAAATACCACAGGATAAGCCATATAAGCTATATCCACACTTCACAAAGATAAGCATATAAGCTCATTCTTCACTTCTCTATTTTTTTTTTTTTTTTTTTTTTTTTTTTTTTTGACAAGCATATGAGCTGTATCTACGGAGTTCATCCCCTATCTTCTCCCAACACTATCCGGTTTAGAGGTACATCCCCTATCTTCCCCTAAACCGCGGAGTACATCCCTTTCTCCTCCTCTACACATAACGTATTACAAACACAATGGTTCTATATACAATCACCCAATACATACAATTAATGTATTTCTATCAACCGTCATGTTCCATGACAATTTCATTGATTAGTTTCAGTTTGCCTAATCATCATGCATTGTCTACAACAATCACGACTATCCTCCACCGATAGCCCAAGCAGTTATTTCTAAACAGAAAATAAATGCACAAATGGATATTCAATCAACATTTCATTTCCTCTTTTCTCGCCATTATTATCCCAATTAATGAATAATGTAATTAGTGTCATTATCCATTAATTTACCATTTTTACCCTTAGGGTCCCATTTCATCCAATGAAAATTTAACAATTTCATTCAATTTTCTCTATGCAAACATGCCATCCAGGTTTATCATGAATAAAACCCAAATTTGTTGTAAAATTGCAACAAAATCCAAACTCACAAAAATTACCCAGACCAAACAAACATTCTCAAATACTTAAAATTTAAAGACAATCCATAGAGAGGAGTAGGGATATCCCCTACTCAAATTCGGAGAGAGTCCCAATGGGAGAAGACGACAAAACCCAACGCTGCCCTCCAAAAACCCGAAATTTTCAGATAAAATGTTAGCCTTCGATCGATACAAAACAAACTCTTTTGTAAGGCAAAGGTGAGCAAATCACTCTACTAGATCAAAACTAAGAGAGAAGGTGAGTCTAGAGTGACGGAGGCTCAACAATGGTGATTATGGGAAAAAGTAAGAGAAGATAAGAGAAGTTAAAAATTGATTTATGGAAGTTCACAATTTGGGACTTAAACCAGTCTCCCGCTACGAGCGTAAAACACCCGCTCGAGCGTTCACTCACAGGACTTCCCGCTCGAGCGTCCAAAACTTCCGCTCGAGCGACCGATGCAAACCTCTCCCAGCACTTATTACAGAACCAGGCCTCAGGCTCGAGCTTCCAAACTCTCGCTCGAGCGTCACTCAGACAACCCGCTCGAAGCGGCCTAAGGCCAATTACCACGTCGAAATGCGTACAACGCTGCACAGGAAAAAATACTGAATGGGTGTTAAATCTCCCTCGACCCACCAGACACGACCCTGACTCTCGCTCGAGCGACCAACTCCTCGCTCGAGCGAAGGTCCAAAATTCTAGGCAGCAACACTAGGCTCCCGAACACAACCAACCTGTAACAAACCTGCGTAACACATCCTATAACTCAAATACGAAGTAAAAGGATGTAAACAAAATAATAAACAACTACCAACATCCACGGACACATGTCCGGATCACTGTACAACAAGGGTAAACCCGGGATCGCTATACGTCCACCTGCACTAAAAGCTGTTTCCAAAAGCAATTGTGGAAATAGGAATAGTTAGTATATCACGGGCCATCAGTGAAACCACAGGACACATAGTTTCATTTTGTTTCCACCATTCCAAAATGTCAAAATCATCAGAATCATCCACTGATGGGCTTTCAAAATAACGTTGTAGTTCAAAACTGCTTACACTCGTATGTTGAGATATTCTTTTACTTTTTATTGCTGAAAAAACACTTCCCGTCTCGAGATGAGATTAGTAGTGTAGTATGTGTAGGTGTATTTACAGATGCAGTTGCCCTGTATTCTCCAAATAATCTATTACATGTTTGCATAATAGGGGCAAACTGTTTTTGATCAACGAAAAGACGCTCTAAAAATTCTTGTAAATCAATTTCTTTACATTTAGGATCAATTATTATGGCTAAACCTAATAGATGAGGCGAAGGATCAAAATATTTATCAAATTTTGCTTTTATTGAAGTAATAATGGTTACATAATATTCATTATCCATATATTTTGCGAAAACTTCAATTATTTCTGCTAAAATATTTAAAACAAATGGTGAAATATGAATATATATATATAAGAAAATAATTTTGTTGAAGTATCGAAAACTTATAAAAAATCTTTATACACGGCTACTTGGTGCCAATT